TTCATATCTGTTGAATTATCGAAACGAACTCTTATTTATAAGAAAAATCAATTCTTTGATATGTTTTCATCTAATAGTATATATTATTAGTTATGTTCTCAATGTATTTCTAGAGATCCAGAAGAGCTATGGAGTTTGGTTGGAGTCCACACTGCAAATGATGGAGAAGAAACTCCCATCTGCAGCATTCTGATGCATCCCAAGTATGATGCAAAAACATATGATAACGATATTGCTCTGCTACGTCTCAAGAGAAAAGTTATATTAAGCAGAGAAGTCCGTCCCGTGTGTTTGCCTCCACCTGATCTGCAAGATACACACCTCAACATGACGACCGTTACTGGATGGGGAATGACATCTTTAGTTAAGCAGACTTAAATTTCTAACATGTCCATTATTCTGCATATTATTTATCTGTATTTATTATCCATATTTCTGCATATTATATTTATATTTATTTTTGCTTTATTTCATATATGTTTCAGATACTGGTTTTGTGTATTTCTGATATTTCTATTTCAATTTATCAACAATAATTTGCTTTTATTAATTTTAATAATTCCTTATCTAATTAATTAATAATAATTAATTAAAAAATTCATTATATAATAATTTAAATAAATCATTCATTATTATTCCAAAACGGCGTTAGCCCAGAAGGGCTATTAATTTCGTTTTGGCATTTTGCGTTGATTCATTATAAATGTCTGTACACTTTTCAAAATGTTGACACCAAATATTAGAGCCCTGTATTATGTTGAAAGAAATTAAATAATGAAGAATCTGCATGCATGTATCAATATTTCTCATACTGTGATAAAACCTCGGTACCTAGATTCATCAAATCTTAACTAAACGTATGTTTCCACCCGAATATGGGCATCTGGAAACCCAAATTTGGAATTCGTTTTATTATTATTTCACATTTTGTAAAACTTTAACGAACTTTTTATTAAGAAATTCCAAATTTTCAAAGCGAGCAATGACAACACTGTATAAAAAAAAACATTTTTATCTCCAGCGCGCGTGACTGTGTATCGGAAATTCTAAATATATGCTCATTTTAAAATTAATTTGTGACATTGCTGTTGAACTGAATTTTATGGTTTAAGTGCGAAGAACATGATATTTGGTAAATAAAGGTAACACACAAAACGTTAAAAAAACGGCCCTTTGGGCGTAATGCAAAATCTGAAAGCTTTCAGACTTTTATGTTTTTTAAATATTTATTTACTTAATAGTTCACATGGATTCTAGGTACTGTGCATGAAATCCTATACGAACATCAATAAAATTGTTTATATCTGAAGTATAACCTAGAATGTTGCCTATTTACGTTAATCAACCTTAGAAACTAATGCTTTCGCCTAAGTGCCAAAATTTGAGAATCTGGCAAATCTAGCGAAATTCTGATTTGCTCTTGAAGCATTTGAATTTAAGTGCCTATTGAAGAATTTTTCGAAACATTTCCGTGATAATGTCCTTTTGTACTTTCAAAATCAAGCCTTTATAAAGATGTATTAATTATGGGTAATGCAGTACCCCCATTATAAGTACTATCAGAAATACACGGCAAAATTATCAGTAAGTCGTAAAAACACAAAGGAAAAAATTTTCACAATTTTTATTGACATTCTTATTTTTGACAAAGGAAAGGGAAGGGGATAGGAAAAAAGACAATGCGGAAATGTTTTCGTATAAAATAATTAGAATGTTGTAGAAATAATATGCCGTAGTGCCATCTTTACTTCGGATACAACTTATTCAGCACAGTATATGTTATTATTTGGAATGAAATGGATTTTACTCAGTCTGTATGGGTATAGGTTGTAAGATGCAGTAACTCAGAAGCCATTCTAAGATGTCTGCAGGCACTGTCTATCATCAGTGCAACACATTTTATCCGAAAAAATGTAGGCAAATCGGGTTATCGGTAAAAAATTCCAACATTGTCGAGGCAGACTTGAATGACTTGTGCGATGTGTGGCCTAGAATTACACTGTTACGAATTTGGTATTTAAAAAGCTAATGTTAGTTCAACTATAAATTAAATGGTTTTATTTCTCACGCAGTGCAGCGCGTGACGAATATTAAAAGAAAGCTAAGCCGGAAAATTGAAAATACAAGAGCGCGTGCATTAAATAAATAAATATCTCTTTTTGATTTCGAGAAAGTACTGGAAAATTCTAGCGCGTGATTTTAAAATCTTATAAAAGGAGGAAAACATCTCAGTTTGTAATAGTTGCTTAGTTTGTTGTTGTTTAGAAAACTGCTCTTGTTGATTGTAGTGAATTCGAGGATTAGCGTTCTTTAGCTGTTTTGAATTAAGTTCTATTGGACATTTGAGTAGGTAAGCTATAGAAATTTGAAACAGTCGGTATTCTTGCATAATGAAACTCAATGCAACGTTCTCCAAAGGCTATAAAAATTGGCGAGCTCAGACGAACTTGTATGTCATTCAGAATGTCTGCAGCTTTTTCACGACTTATCCATACTGATGGTCAAAGGGCTCAGTAGTAAGAAGTGTGTTTGGCTGTCTTAGAAAATGACTTCCCAGATACTCACTGAGTAAACGAATTGTGTTTCAAGAAAAAGCAAATTCATGAGGTGGTCATAGTATACCCCTACACAAATACCTCTGTGGCATTGATTTCTATAAATTCTTCAATGGACATATCGATAATACATAAATGAGTATTAGACAAAAAAAGGGGGTAAACCTGAAAGTTTTCAGATTTTATATTTTGTCCAAACAGGCATTTTTTTCATTTACAGACATATACAGGTTTCAAGAACATTTGGGCTGACGCCACATTGGGCTAAAAATATTTAAAAACAGTATATCTTTAAAATTTCCGATAGACAGTCTCGCGCGTTGCAGTTAAAAATATTTTATTCCGTATAGCGCGTTGCTACGGCTCGCCTTAAAATAATTGAGTTCCTTAATCAAAACTTCTTTGAAGTTTAATAAACATGAAACAGATAGTAAAACAAATTCAGAACTCCAGATTTGGACTTCCAGTTGCCCATGTTTGGTTGAAGGTCTACGTTATTCAAAATTTGATGGCTCTAGATATCGTTGTTTTTTCACAACGCGAGAAACATACATTCATGCAGATTCTTCATTATTTAATTTCTTTAAATATAATACAGGGCGATAATATTTGGTAACAATCTGAAAAGTGATTCGAAGCAAAATGGCGTTTCGAGATTAATAGCCCCTCTGGGCTGACGCCCATTTGGGCTTAGAAAAGCAGGGAAAGGGGCAAATCTACATAATATGCCAGAAATAAGCTCTCGTGGAAATAGTTAGAAAGTCTGATCGATACTGGGAATCTTTTACTTAGACAGCTAAACGTATTTAGTACACTTTTACTTAGACCGTTGCTTTAAACTTAATTTTGAGGGCAGCTTAAGCAGAAGACAGGGAGTGGCTAATCAAAGTCTTTTCCCTCAATACAAATATTACCGGATTTTTACTTAGGGTGGTCCAATTTAAGCTACCGATTGAAAAAGATAGTATAAGGTATTTCTCCCGCATTTCCTAGCGTGCCTGTAGTGGTTAGGCACGTTGAGCCGGTATTCCAGAGGTTCGTGGTTCGATTTCCGGTGAAGACGATTGCTCATTTTGCATCTTTTCTGCCTCCAAATAACCTAATGTCTCTACAATGGCACCCGAACAAAAAAAAGGGTGTTTGATGATGATTCTCCTCACCCAGGATTTGGCGATTGGGTCTCCTAAAAACCCCAGTCGCCCTTTAGAAGGGGGAGTGTATAAGGTCTTTCTCCCGCCTTTTTAGCGTGCCTTAGTGTAGTAGTTCTGGCCGTTAGGCCGGTATTCCAAAGGTCCGTGGTTCGATTCCCGGCAAAAGCGCTGCTAATTTTTCATCTTGCCTCCTTCCAAAAATACCTAATGTCTCTACAGTAGTAACTCTAGAATTTTAAGAACCATAAATGTTGGTGCTGATTTGGAGTTGCCGTAGTTGTCTCTAAATAAGATAGGAATTTGATTGATGCTGTTTTCAAGATGATCGGAGCAGACCTCATTATAAACTAACTTCTTGAGGTGCTCATGTTAAGTAGACTGAAAAATCCTCTAATGCCTTTCGTCTCCTATTCGTATTTCTTACAGTTCAGAAGAATTCACGTGGTCGTAATCCGCTTATGTTGTTGCTTCCAATTCGACTTTACTTTCTACACTTTTCTGAATCTGCATTCTTCCAGGATCTCTGCCATAAACCACTATAGAGTTATTAAACCTTCTTATTTTGATTAACTGCATGATCTTCTCTGGTAGAGTTGCATGTAAAGTTTTATCTAGATCTGGAAAAGAAACCTTTTTCAAGATTTTTTCTGGCCTGTTTCTTATATTTCTATTTTATTTGATATTAAATTTGTATCTATAACCTTTAATAAGCAATATAATTTAATATATGGGATTAATATTACACCATTTATTAAAACAGCAGTCACCTCGATAGATAAACACCAAAATTTTCCTTTTGCAAATTTATACATACAAATGTACTGACGATATCGGCTTAAAGCAACGGGCATTTAGTCCCATATCTAGGGAAACATAAGGAAAAACAGCAAATTAAGGTTTTCAACTATTCCTGAATATCAAGTATTTAAGTTCTGATGTTCGAATGGCACCGAAATGGAAGAAGTAGTTTCGATTTTAAATATCTTTAATAAATTCAACTACTCTCAGTTTATACATCAAACTGTAAACATTTAATAATAAAATAGCCACAGGTAAACATTTAGCAATAATTCATCGGTAACACAGATAAGTTTTAAAATACGAATCAGAACAGTTATAGATCAGCTACGTTTTTAGCGATTGAATTCTTCCGATAATGAATCCCAATGGAATTCCAAGGCGTGTTGCCAACGCAGGGCAACGAAAAATTCGAGAGGCATGGAAGTAAACATATTCCCACCCTATCAGGTTTAGTCCTCATACACAGGCAAAGGTGAAAGTTTATTAGTTGGTATTTTGAAGACTGCAACTGGTTGGTATTAGTTGGTTTTATTTTTGACTGTAGCTACGCTAACTAACCCGTCGATGACACGCCCTATAGGCCATGCTAAAGGTGCAGATCCATCTTCGATGACAAGAACCACAGTGTCGTTCTTCAGGTTAGGTTTGCTGTGCTGCCACTTAGATCGCTGCTGAGGAGAAGTCGAGTATTCCTTTTTCCAGCGATTCCAAAGTCCATGTAGTAGCTGTACAAGTGTTCCCAGCTATAACTCCCTGTGCGAATAGGCAGATGTGTATCTGGAATGGAAATCAACGTATCAACTGTAATAAAATGAAGTGGTGTTAAAACATTAATAGAGTCAATATCAGAATAGTTCACGTAAGTGGGTGGACGCGAATTCAAAATAGCCTCGATTTGGGTAAGCAGCGTTGACAACTCTTCATAGGTTAAAAGAGTTTCTTTCAATACTCTTCTAAGATGAGATTTCGCTGAGCGAATGTCAGCTTCTCATATTCCTCCAAAGTGTGGTGAAGCAGGCGGAATAAAATGCCATTCAATAGATGACTGAATTAGTTCTCGTGACACTGATTCTGTTGCATGCAAAGAAAACCAATTACCGAGTAAGATTGCCTGATGAGGTGAAATAATAAAGAAGGACCAGCATCCAGGTAGGTAATATAAAGTTCATTCCCCAGTAATTCACTAAATTTATGTTGAGAAGGAAGTATTACAGGATGTTTGACGTTAAATGCTAAACATGAATTTCGAAGACGTCCTCCCACCCGTAAGAGACCATTTTTGTCTATGAACGGATAAAGAGAACATAGTTGGCTGTTCTTGGGTAAAGGTTTCTGTTCCTTAATACATTGCAAATCATCTTGGAAATAATGATTCTGAATTCGACGAATAATGAACATTTCTGCTACTCGCATCTAGAAATGTTAGCGGCATAAGGCAGCTGGAGTTAATACCACTACGCGAAATGTTCTCAGTAACAAGATGCTTCTTGCAATTAGTAATAAATCTTTGGCAGTAAGCCAGATACGAATAGTCTAGCAATGAAAAGAATAATATTCGAATAAATTAGCTAATAAATCATTCGATTCACGTATATTAGAAATAAAATTAAGATCAGATCTTTGTTCAGCCTTTACTTTAATATAATCTTCAGATCTTAATTCATATTTAGGCCAGTTTTCCTCTTCCTGACGCAGCCATGGTGGACCCTTCCACCAAAGATTATAGTTTGGTAGGAGCTGAAGTTTTATACCACAAGAAGCAACGTCTGCAAGATTTTGTTTAGAAGGAAGATGATTCCAATATTTAATAGGTTTCTATTATGTTTAATAGGTAATTATTATTCTATGATTTGAGATGTTCTTTTTGCAACAAAAGTTTTCCACTTACGTGAATGAGCAGATAGCCAAGACAAAACTAACTTCCTTGAAATCCGTCCAAGCATAAATTTCAAAATTAAATTTCTTTAAAGTGTTCAAAAGAGATCGCGTTAATCTGATCAACTAATATACAGCACAAAGTTCTAATCGAGGAATAGATACTTGCTTTATAGGCGCGACTTATAGTCTTTGATACCAAAAGATTAACCTTAACCGTACCATTGCATGTTTGGCGACAGTAGATGGCTGCTGCATAGGCAAGCAAAGATGCATCACAAAATCCATGTAGTTGAATATCTCTGTCTGTTGGAAGTATGACACATCTCGGAATTCACAATTATTGGTTTGAATGAAAGTCTCTTGAAATTTAAACCAATCATCTGAGAAGTGCTGTGGAATAACTGAATTCCAGTCACCTTTAACTAACCATAGCTTTTATAGAGTATTTTTATCAATATAGTGCAAGGAGACAGGAGACCTAAAGGATCGAAAATGTGAGCAGATTCTACCAATATGCGTCTCTTTGTTATAGGTGCGTTGAGTTGCAGTGTAGCTTTAAAACTGAAGCTATCAGTGGTTGAATTCCAGAAAAATCATAAGACTTGACAATCGAGTTGGGAGATACCTCAAAATCGGAATTCAGCGAACAATTTTCCTCAAATTCAGTTAAGAATTCTACAGAATTGAAATTTTTCTTCCTCAAATCAAAACCACGTGCATGTGATTGAAGATGCTTTCTTCAAAATTTTCTCTAGAGTGCTTTCGTTTTTATTTGGCGCTTTTAAAAGCTCTATGTTGTTAGATTTACGGTCTTCATGCAACAAACTATTATGAGTTTTTGAACTACAAAAATTGCATTTTTAATCTCGCTGTGGTCCGAAGAAAGAGGTGAATAAAACATGTTTCGAATTGATGAAGGCAGAGGCTGTTCTCACACTTTATCGCCTGCTTTGAAAAATAGTTTTAACTGCAACTATAGTTTTAAAACTGTAAATTATCATCTGTTATTTGACAATCTTGTTCTCATGCAAAATGTCGCTTTTAAAGAAAACATGGAGGAAAGCTATGTTTGTGATCTTTCCTAAAAAAAATTCCATTTAGTTATTAAAAAGCCATGATTTTCGGTATCTAAAGCAATGCTAGATAATATTGTCAATAAGAAAGGAAAGCACGCCAAAGTTTGGTTTCAAGAAAAAAATTGTTCAAAGTACTTATGCAAGGAAAAAACGGAATGTTTCGAATTTTGCAAAGGTAAGAACTTAAATGTTAAAAGAAAATCTTCGAAGTCAAAGCACAGTTGCATAATCATTAAAATAGTCAGTGTGAACTATAAACAAAGTGATTAATGCTGATTTGAGCCTTGGAAAGGAGAAAAAACGTAATGTGCATTGTTTTGCTCTATGACGTATCGCCGAAAGAAAAACGCGCTGCAGAATTCTCAGTGAGAAACAATTATTCGGACAAAAATGGAAAAATGTTGTTACAATAGCTGAATTCTGGGTATATTTGAACGAGCGCAATAAAAAGAGATCCATTTATTACCATCAAAGAGAAGAAAAAAATTCAGAACATGGTTCAAAGAATCTAAAAAAAGTTTTTCAAACGGGTTTATTATTGTTGCTGGTTTTTCATATAATCTCAAATTGCACTGTGAGTAGAGAGAGGGTATTTTATATTTGAAAACTGAGTATAACTGCATCAATAAAAAGAGCCACAAGTCTAAATTCACTGTTGATTTCTCGGGAAAAAAAAAACAAGAAATGAGTGTCAAGACCATACCCTTCACTTATATCTCCACTACATGTCTTGATGTATCACCCACAGTGTTTTGTAGTTTTGGACTTTTAAAAAATGGATTGTCATGACGTCGACCTATAACCCTTCCTGGACTTTGGAAAGCTGTTCAAGAGCAATGGAATAATATACCTCTTCTGCTACAAAAAAAAAAAAAAAAAAAAAAAAAAAAAAAAAAAAAAAAAGCTATATTGTCTTGGAAATTATGCTGTGGAAAGATATGAATAATAAGGGTTATAAAATGGAATATTTAAAATACAAAAAGTTTAGCTAAAATATTTCTGTAAATACAATGAAAATCTCCTAAAAATGTACGAACAGCCTTATTACAATTTTGGATTCTGATTTATCCGGATTCCTTAAATATAACTATGTACAACTGCAATCATTTCAATCCAGGTTCAGTTTTATAAAAGCAATTTAAAATTCTTAAATCTATACTAAGGCAAATACATAAACAACATAAACACATAAATGACAAGTGATCATATTTAAAATGTGCTTAAATTCACTCGTATGCAGATATGTCAATCTCTGGTACGATAAAAAATTTCTAAGAAAGGTGTTAGATAATAAATATGTTCTATAAAATTTACAAACATTCGCACATTTAAAACTGATTTATATACATTTTATCTCTACTAACTCAAGAACCACTTTGTTAAGCTAACTAGAAGAAGATCATACTTACTAGAGTTTTCTTTGGGAGAGGAAATTAAGCAATTCTTCGGGATAACGAATTCAAACGTTCTGTTCTAAGCAATAGTATAATTAACTTAATGAATATTCCTTACCACTGTCCTTGTCTCGTAGAAGTAAGCCACCCTCACCCCCATCCACTATATAACAGTCTCAAAAGTCCGTTTCGGCGATGATTTCCTCAGTATAACAATGGAATTCTATGAAATCTGTCCTTTTCCATTGAGCGTAGGTAAGTCTCTTCATCACGATTAATGTCAGTCTGGAGCAGCCTCTTCATAACACGTCGTAAGCAGGAACACATTGCACGTATCGTCATGGTCGAGGATGAGGACTCGAAGTCTTGTAAGGCTGTAATTCACATGTTCGCGTCCTTTCTTCAATCGCTCATTAAATAGCAATATCGAATAAAATTTCTATTCATAATTATTCAAAGGGTAAAACAGTCGCCATGTCGTAGCGCTCAACACGTAGTAGACAGGAACATATAACACAGATCGTCGCCCCATCGTTGCAATCAAAGCCGACTCTTCTAAGGCTGGAGCTGACACAGTCACGTTATTTTCTTCCAATTACACACTAAAATGTACACTAAGTAATAATATTTCAACGAAATATTATAAAGTTAAATAAATAATAATATTATAAAGTGCACTAAGGCGCGGGATAACTAAGTAATAATTGAATTAATAAATACCATCCATATCCTGAGCCTTTTTTCTTAAGCTATTTAAATACCTGAAAAAGTCCCGAGCATGCATTAACAATTTAATACAGCTGATCATCATGCATGAGGTCGATATATATCCAATGAATTCTCCTTCCTCATTTTTCACTTTTCATTCTTGCGGTTTTCACATTAATTCCTGTCTCTGTCCTCCCAAAGTCCTTAGAATACCTTCTCCCTTCTTCTTCATCCTTCTCCCTTCTTTTCTCTCCCCCCTCCCTTGTTTTCATTTCCTCCTTTCATGACAATATTTAACTTTTGACTTTTAACTCACTATTTAACTTATTAACTGAGACTATCTTTTGGCGCAACCAACTTTTATAGTATTGGTCGAAGGGTATATCAATCCAATGTTTCTCAACACAATTACAAGAACGCAGCAATTTGAAGTATGCAGAGCACCTTTCTTTCACTCTGCGCCGGGAAAGTATTTTTAAAACTTCTCCTCCCAGCTTGAGACCCAACTCATCTAACGAAACGACTTTTAAGAGGTAATAGGCCGAGCAGATAATCTGTTTACATTTTATATCCTTATCATTCCAAGGGCAGTTCAACAACTAAACGCTCCCGGTCTTTTAATAAAGGGAAATTTTTCAAAACTACTGCTTATCTAACAGCCTACGATGAATTTGCTTTTTATATATTTCAAATTTCCCTAGTTTTAGACTTGCTAGCTATTTTAAGAATCGCGCACAAAAAATAACGTCTCTTCCTTTGTACCGAGCCCCTACGCATCTGAAACGATTTGGCTCATTAGAACGACAAAGATTATTTTTCTCTTTCGCTACGGACATTCGAAGGAGAAAAGATCTTTTATTTATAATACTTTCGTATGTTTATTTTTCCTGATGCCCATCACAATACAAATTACTCACCTTTCCTGTAACAGAAGTATAATTTAACTTTCCCTGAAATCAGTCATCAGTCAATCTTTCTGATGCTTGAAAACATCTTGAATTTTGCATTTTGTTTTTCAAAATCTAGATTTTGCATCATTCTTTATCAGTCTTTGAAATCTCAGGTTTTTATACTATCATATCTCTGCACATGTATCACACATATAATTAAATATGATTACAGTAAAAGGAAGATCAGAAAATTTTAATATGCTTGTTGTTTGGTCGTGTGATAAGCTGATGAAGGAAAAATTACTATTTCTTGAACGTTAAACTCAAATATAATAATAACTTTTGCCTTAAAATACCGTTATATAAAGCGCATGCAATTTATAAGAAAAGGCGAACAATTAAAACTTTAATTAAAATTATTTTATCATTTATGAGTAGAATTTTGAATTATATGGTAGCATGTTTATCTATTATATAGCCAATACTATGTACAATACAAGTTCATCTTGTTCATTATATTAAGTCATTTAGTAGAATTTAGTTGAGTTAAAACATTTGGCCATTTTCCTAGCAAATGAGTTTCAGCATAATTAGCTCATATATATAAAGATTATACAAAAGTCTTTTCTTTTGCATAAAACACCTTATAAAATATCGGTCCATCTTTTACGTGAAGTCTTTCTATACTGCTCCTAATACAGTAGTTTGGTTTCCAGCAATGTTAGCGAAACAACCCTTAAGATGTCATAGGAATAGCAGACAGTCTGTGTACATTTCATTTCCTTATCACTTCAAGTGCAATTCATCAATCAAATACCCCCTCCCATGCATAATAAAATGAACTGTTGTTCAAAGCTACATCTTATCTAACAACCTACGATGAACATACGATTTTTCTGCTTTCGCTGTTAGTTTCTATTTCTAGCTATTCTAAACAGGAATTCACAATGCAGTTTGCGCGGACCGTGGAGAAGTGAAATAGATATTATTTCATTGTTATTTAGATTAATTTGCTGTGTTTCAAATCCAAAATTGGTATATTGATAATTTTTCCATCTAGGAAGAGTTTATGATTTTTCTTCATTTTTTGTATAGGTAGGAAAGCCAGCGAGGAATTACAGGAGGTCAGCGTACCAGTTGTACCATTTGAAAAATGCAAAACTTCTAACGAAAGATATAACAGAGTATTCATTATGTGCCGGAAATGGCAAGGATTCCTGCTTGGTAATTTTTGAGCATCTCACATAATACAAAATCTAAGTTCAATCAGTTTTTCCCAGTTTTTTGAAGAAAACACACCTTTATTATCTATCAAAGCAACTGTTGATATGCTCATTAATAATAAGGCTTTCTTAAAGTTTTACACGGTTTTAATATACTGTACAAAGTACCTCCTGAAATTCAGTTAGAACAAGTGAACTTAACTGATTTGGAAAAATTCGAAAATACATTCCAAAAGGACGATATCAGTTAAAAATTAGCTGCTAAGTACACGTTCCAAATAGACGATATCAATTAAATATAAAAAATACATAAAGATTAATAAATACATAAAGATTAATGCAGTAAAATTTTAATTATGAAATTTTTGATGGCCAAAGCAAATTGTACTAACCAATTGATCTGTATCACTGAGTGCTCCTTAATTAAATCCAAAATTCTTCTATTGTACATTTATTTACACATTTATATACAATGTTACAGCTTACTGGTCTACTGCCACCAGCCACATACAGTGCATTATATCATTAGCTGTAAGACACCCGACACCTTGGCGTTTTGGCACTCTTGTCGTTCTATAACATCTATAACAAACTAACCTTTTTCGTGGTAAACATCACCGCAATTGGAGGAGACCAAACAGCCTCCTCCTCTCTTCGATGAATTACATTCATCTTCAACATGTGCAAAATATAGAAAAGGGAACCATAAAAAAATCTTCAAAAAGTACAAAATTACATATTACACTTACCAATCTTCTAGTAAAACAGCTAAACAGCTTATAAATCTCCTCGTTTGTTTGCTGTTCGAATTGTTTAATAAGTTAGATTTAATAATTATTTTCTCACTATATTCAACAATTGAGTAAGGGTTAAACTAAAACAAACAAATAGCAAAATAAGTACAATCAGAAATATAGAAAAATAATAAAATATGTTCAACATAAATCTGGCACTTAAAAGTTAACGTCTTCTTCATTAATTCGCAAAGGACACAGTTTGATAATAGGACGTTTAAAGACCCCGTGCACAGTTTTCAGTCTTACCACTCGGACATTATTGTTTCTTCGCAGAAACTCTTCTATTACCCACTCGAGTTTCTAACGTAGTGAAGGTATATTATCTTCTTTAACGAGAAACAAGTCATTTAGACGAATATGTTTGCTAGGTTATCTCCATTTCCTGCGCTGTTGTAGTTAGCAGTTACCCTTTAGACCACCTGTTTCAAAACCTCTTGAATATCTACTGTGTTAGTTGCCATCTCTGTAATGCAGACACTCGTATTCCGCTTAAATCTTGTCCTGGAATAGCTGTTAAAGGAGTCCCTATAATAAAGTGTCGGGAGTCAGAGCTGTCAAGTTATTTAAATGACTGGAGACCGGTTTTATGAGCCTCAAATCAATACATGCTTCAATTTGTGTAATTAGATTTAGGAACTCTTCGTAAGTTAAAATTTGAATACCAGCACATTTCTTTAAATGCCTCCCATATATCAACATGATGTGGAGAAACTGGCGCATTGAATATCAAACTTATGTTTTCGTTTGATAACCACCTTGAAATTCTGAGTTTTCAGATATTCTGAGTTTCTGGAAATTCTGAGTTTTACTGGATAAATCAAACTGTTTCTTAGAGGACTTTAAATATAAAAAAATTACATATAAAAAAATTATTTCCATAATCACTTCTTATTAGGTTCTCTTAGGTTTTTTTTCTCCTCGAAGCGAATCTTTTCAGAACAGCTAGGAATGCTTCACTTGGTAAGTCGCTGATAATCTCTAAATAGATGGCCTTTGTAGCTAAACAAATGAAAATACAGCTATTACATTTAATAGGCCTTATACCTCTTCCGCTTCTCATTTTCACAGCAAATGGGCCAGTAGAATCGACGCCAAACTTTGGAAAAGCTGTACGTGGAATCACTCTACTTGCAGGTAGTTCTCTCATTAATTGAGTAGATGTTGCTGCTCGTACTCTGAAACATTTTATGCATTTTTTGAATTTCATTCTTTACGCTTACCATCCAGCATTTTTGCCTTATTACGGAAAATAGCAAGTACAGTCCTCCGTGTAAACAGTTTTTGTGATAATGTTGTATTGTCATTTTGTAAAGTAATTATTATTTGGTAATATTGATGGCATATTTGCTTTCTTCGGTGATTTCAGCATTTCTTAACCTACCTTCTGCTCTGGAGGTTCTAAGCTCCTTTGTTTGCCGCCTAGCAGATACATGGTACAGTTTACTACTTTTGTCACCTGGCTATTATATCATTAGTGGTAAGACAGCCCACACCTTAGCGTGTCTGCTCTCTTGACGTTCTATAACGCTTCTAACTTTTCGCAGTGCGCCCTCTGGTAAAAATCACCGCAACTGGAGGGAAAAAAAGGACACTATTTTGAAATTTTGGAAAGTGGCAAAACAGCGCTGCGTTGTTAAGCTGCTGTTATTTACATATGCATTTTTACTCACAAATTTACATGAATTTCGCAGCGAATTTCTTATTATTGTGTACTTATAAATAAATTGACGTATTCACAGTTTCTTCTGTTTATAGGAATATATTGAAAAAGTGTTATATGCAGTATTTGTATCACACTTAATTAGTTCAAGGAATGCAGTACTACCTTTCGATGAATGAATTCTTGATTTGTCTTGGTGAAATTTTACTCTCTGAAAGTCACTGGGATAAAGAAATGTAATTTATTTTGCAATAATTGGACGTTAAACTTCTTGATAGTATTTTGAAAAGAACTTTTTCTCCCTCTCTCTTATTTTTAATTTCCCATTGTATTAATCCTGCGACAATCATGAACACCTTACTGAAATTTTCTTTGCATTGACGGAATTAGATTTGTATAATTTTGACTTTTTTCAGTAATAAATACACCTTTTTGTTGCAGTCATTTAGGTAAATCCATGCTTCATCAAGATTCAGTCACACTGTTTTTTTCATTTTCCCCTGCTAAATAGGTTTCATATAGGGTCTGGATATTATTCTGCTTTGAGTCACATGCCTCGCCAACAGCTGGTAAATATTATGTTTTTTAGCTTTTTAAGGCTGTAAATCTAGGTTTATTAATTTATTTATTATTTACTACACATTTATTTAAAGCCTTTGCAACTGATTTCTGCGGCGACGGATTTTCTCTTGTTATCAACGATTTAACTTTAGAAACTTTAAAATCAGCGTACCTTTTCAAGTATTCGTTTGAAATCTTCTTACCATATAGAATTAATAACTGACAGTTTTTCATTAGCGGTTAATAATGTTGCTGATTTAGCACTGAAAAATTTTTAAGACTGCATTTGACAACGTTTTTGAGTTATAGAAT